TACCCTTCAACAAACACGTGATGTCATTGCTAATTACTGACTTCAGCCAAAAACCAAATTGAGTCAATTCACCCTTATTTCCAGTCTTAAGCCCGATAAGATTTGCAGCCTCCTTTCTTCCCAAGATCTTTCCTTTCTTATCTCCCCCCCATTCCTTGCTTACCAGCAGAACAGTGAGAAGATTTGGGCATGTTTCTTTTAAGACATTCTTTGTCTTGTTACTGCAGTTCGTTATTTTATTAGCTAATTTTGAAACCACACAGCCTTCCCACACTACAAGTAATGCTACTTATTATTCTCATGGCCTTCTTTTACTTGCTGATTGGAGCCTTCTTTACAAACACACATATAGATCCTTAACCAAATGTAAGCTAACTTTAATTCTTTAATTTTATACTTACCCATTTATGAATTTGGTTTAATTTCATTCTCGTTAAACTCCATCTCTGCTATAATTTGAAATGTATTTCTCTTTTACTATCATTAGAACAGGGGTGGCCAACCTGAGCCTGAGAAGGAGCCAGAATTTACCAATGTACATTACCAAAGAGCCACAGTAATACGTCAGCAGCCCCCCATCAGCTCCCCACCCTACACTCCCAGCGCCTTCCACCCACTGGCAGCCCCGTTGATCAGCATCTCCCCCTCCCTCCCCACACCTCCAGATCAGCTGTTTCGTGGCATGCAGGAGGCTCTGGGAGGGGAGAGGAGTGAGGGCACGGCAGGCTCAGGGGAGGGGGCGGGAAGGGATGGAGTGGCGGCAGGGCCTGTGGCAGAGCCAGGAGTTGAGCAGTGAGCACCCCCTGGCACATTGGAAAGTTGGTGCCTGTAGCTCCAGCCCCGGAGTCAGTGCCTATACAAGGAGCTGCATATTAACTTCTGAAGAGCTGCATGTGCCTCCGGAGCCATAGGTTGGCCACCCCAGCATTAGAACTTTGTCCCATGGTGTTCTGTCTCAGATTCCTATATATTTTAACCCATAACACACTATTTCCCACACCTCTACATGGTTCTAGAATCTCAGCCAGACTGTCTAGGCATATATAAAAAGACTACCTGGGAGAAAAGATGATTTCTGGCTCCTGGGAATGGGGCAGGTTAGTATTCTAGGGAGGAGTCAGTGTTACCCCTATCTACCTACACCTGGAACACCCCTCCTCCTGTGGCTTGCACTTCCCACATGATCTGCCTCCCTGCTATTAGTTCCTGACCTCTTCTGCAGGCAGAAAACCAGGAGGGGTTGCGGAGGTTGGGGATGGGAAAAAACAGTCATGGAACCAGCTGTGTAGAAGAGCACTGTGGTAGAACCAGCACCCTGGGCAAGCTTCATGGGGCTGCTGAATTGCTGGAAGTGGTGGGGCGTGTTTTCACACTCAACAGTGAAGTTGTGGGAGTCTTGTTTAGTTAAGAGGAAAGCAATCTTCCTAGATTGTAATCTTCAAAGCAGGGACTATGTCATGATGCCTCTCAGACTAGGGCTCCAGTCCTTATTGAGGCTTCTTGGTGCTATGGCAATATAAACATTTTTTTAAATAATGACATGAGAGCATCAGGGTCATTAAAGGAACTGTCGATGCATTTGCTCATCCTCAGACTCAATAAAGAGCACAATGACTAGAGCCCTACGTGGATACAAAATTTGTATCTGCATCCAATCTGCAAAAATGGTCCGTGGATATCTGCAGATTTGTAGGCTCTACTAATGACAAGCGTACTTGTACGTAACACTATAACTGGCAACATGAATGGGGAGGGAAATGCAACATGTGCAGGGAAAGAAATACAAAACAAATGGGAAGCAAAACCTTGTACAAGAAGAATCTTCATGTCCCTGTAATCCTGATTTTTGCTGCTCTTGCATTTGATGTTATTGACATGAGGTGACGGTGCTAATATTGTTCTGTTTGGGCCTGATGTGCAGTCCTTGCTCATGCAAAACTTGTCTGAGCTTCAGGAGGAGTTTTGCCTCAGTAAAGATGCAGAGCAAGTCGTGTAGAGATTCTTGGGGTGTAAGTGACGCAGTTTGATACAAAAGTGTCTGAAATCATTTGGAGCTCAATTCAATACAAAATAATTTAGCTTCTGTTCTCTACTGGATGATGAATTGGGCCATTATTTATGACTAATTCTTATGGTAAAGTTGCCTTACACCAGTTGTTTTATTAGATGAGTTTAGTATACAGGGTATCATTCATCACATTATATTTAAATTATAGAAAAATGACTCTGTTATATTTAATACAGTGACTCTGAGAAAAAATAATTAGCCTTTCAAATAGACAGGGGACTGCACTGTTTTGTTCATTTTTGTTT